TTGGTCTGTCTACCTGTGCCTGTCCTCAGGCCAGGTCTGAACGTCTATATACAGATTGCTAGGTGCCAGGAAGACCTCTCCTGAGTCCTGACATGTTGCAAGACCTCCTGGCACTAGGCGCAATCGGGTAACGCCTGAAGCTCACGTAAAACGGCAACTGTCTCAGGCGCAACAGACGCCCTAATGTTTCTATGCTTTGGACTCCCTCTGCAATAGTCCCGTGTTTCACAGTCGCTCGATTTTGTCCTGCTCGTTTTCCGAGGGAAGACCATCGTAAGATAACCTTTTGGTGGAAGGTCCAATATGTTGAAAGCGGAACAGTCGCCCTGTGGAATAACCACCTAATCTATCGTGTACTCTAGAACTTCTGAGCAGTGAGCACTGTCGACAAACTCAACCCATCTCAGCGCCAGTTGTGCCCCACAGTAAGGCTCTTATCTCGGGCGATGGCCGACCAAAAGCACAACGGAGGCTTTTTATAATAGTAGGGAATGATCCAGGGGTAGTACGATAAGACCCCTAATCACCCAGCGCCACGCTCCCGAAGCTGAAAATCAGCCCTTGGCACTACTTGTAGGCTCATCACAGCCTGCTAAGCCTTTTCCGGGATCAGCTAGGCTATCCTAGGAAGAGCCAAAAAGTGTTTCTCCAACGGAATAACTAAGAACCGAAGCAACCGTCTTTCCTAAAGAGACATAGCTTGAGCCGATGAACAGCCAATTATCGATTTACACGGCGATTGTTCAATACATTCAGCCATAAGAATCTTTAATACAATCCAATACCGTATTCAACGAGAGATACCTAAGGGCGGCACGGACTAGGTCACCTCACCCCTACCATCGAAAGGATGCAGCGCCACGTCACTCAGCCTAACGGGAAATGATGCAATTAGACGCAGGACGGAATATCGCGAGTGCAAGATCAAAGCCGCTACCTACAGGCTAACAGCTCTCCAATAAGCCGATTAAGCTGCTTCTCTCACCCTCAATTCTCTTGAACAATAGTCTCCTTGTGTACAGATGAATGTGGAAAGCATCACACTTGATCCCAATGATCTTCTCCGCATCGGCAGGAAGCGGCAGGAGAGGACATAAAGCGGAAGGACGCCGCGCCTGCAATAGGCAGAGGTCGCGAAGGCAGGAGGCGAGATCCTAGCAGCAGAGATCGATGATTGGTAGCGCGCTCTCTCGCCTGGGCGTCCTTATCCCACCGCATTGGGGAGGAGGGGTAGGGCGTTGCTGACCTAGCGCTGCCTAGGATGGCCTAGCGGATGTCACAAAAGGCTTGGCAAGCCGTGACGTGTACTCCGTACCGTGTAACGATTATCAACGGTCAAACGTGTTTAAGTCGGTCAGGAAGAGGAGAGTCAGACGACAAGGAGGGCCAATCCCTTTCCCACCAGGGCAAGCGTTGGCCGCCGCGGCCATTTTCGTTCGCTGTAAAGAGAGGAGAAAGTTACAGGATGTCTCGGATAGGGTGCCCAGCGGCCAGTAGATTACTGCTATCTTGATAACATTTTCTGCGCGTCCACCTGGCGCCCGCCGTAATTAGCATTTATGACAGCAGGGTTGATCTCGGGAGTCTATTACCCGAAACGCCCGTAGGATTGAAATAAGTAGGTGACTCGGCCCGCTCGACAACTTTTGACTCAGAGCTTCGATTATTATTAGTAAGGACGTGACGTTTCCGTAACGTACTTGGTAGCCTTTTGCCTCTCTGCAGGTGGGCTTTATCGCGGGAGGCAGGAAGGCGATTGATTCAAAGTAGGGTCCGTCCGGAGCACTGCTACCCCCAAGTCATCTAAGTCGCCCAAGTTACCTCATCGAAAACTGTCCTGGGGCTACGCGCGAAACAGGAGTTCCTTGTCGGCATACCGTATAGGAGGCTTGCCACGATATCCTCCCATCTTCTCTCTATATGGTTCGTTGTGCGTGGGGGAAAAGAAAGGGAGAAAGAAAAAGAAAACACTCTTTCATAGTACGCTACAGAACTCCTACTACTTTATATCTCCTCCTCCTACCGATATCCCTAGTTGGGGGGCGGAAAGTAGTATGACCGCTGGCTTTGAGGCGGAGGCCCGCGTTATAGGGACCGTCGCTCAAGTCGTTGGCGACGGCCGAAGTATAAGTATCAAACGTCCTTGGCATATGGGAAAATTTTTTCTCTGTACTTCGTTGAGTAAAAAGGCGGATAATACGACGTTGGGGGCCTTACCAGGGGGCGCGCCTCCCCGCTGCAGCACTTCGTCATTATTCGCCGCGCGCAAAGGGGGATAAATCAAGTGGGGGGTCCACGGGTCGCCGGAGGGCATCGAAGTGTCTTTAGGGCCTTTTTTGCTCAAATTCCGGCGATATTTTGCCTGCGCGTGACGGCCCGCGTTTGCAGTAGTCGACCCAGAGGATTGGGACACCGCAACAGCCACACAGTGCACCAATTCTGTGAGATCTAAGAGAGGCTTTGCGCACATCCTCACCCATTCTCCGCCGCCCACCTTTGCCCTCCACGAGAGAACTTTTCTTCCTTTACCCATCGACATGGCACAGATTTACCACGGTTTCACGCACGTGGGACCGAACACCCCATCTCCCTCTACTCCTTCCGTCCCTAATACTCTGGTGTCTGACCCTGTGGTGCTACCACCAGATCCCGAAGACACTACCGACACCCGACAGATCACACCACCTAGAACCCGACGAGCGCGAGGAAGACCACCAAAGCCCAGCTGGCCACATTCGTCGCGAAGCGTGAATAAATCGACTTCCCCTCAATGTAGACCCGATGGAAGACCCGATGGAGTGAACAAAGTGCTCCCGGACGCCCAAACATTTGACGATGAAGAAACAACAGTGCTAGTGGAGATGGAGTGGTTAGGAAAAGAGAAGGATGGGTTAGAACAAGAGTATAACGCGAAAATATCGCAGTTGGAAGAAGTCGAAAAAAGGGAGATGGAACAGTTCGAACAGCGCGTGAACTGCGAGCGCCAGAATCTGAGAAAGCGCCACAGGGCAGAGCGAGAGGGAAAGACAGCACAGTATGATCAACAAAGGACGCGAAACGAGAGTAAACAGAAAGAGGCGCAGGAACGAGCAAAGGAAATTAGTGAGAGGCGACGGGTTACCCTCCCCCCAGTCCCCAGACGGGGAACCTCTGTTACAAACACTAATACTCCATCAGACATACCTACTCAACCAATTTCACTCAAAGCAAAGTTCAGTGCAGCCTTGATAACACTTATTCTCAGTGAACAAGCTCAACCTAAGACGCTGGTGAGAGTTAGTAGGGTATGGGTCGGTAAGAATCCCGGCTATTGGCAGGATACCGTTGCGACCTCTGTCACGCGGGTCTGCGTCGCAATTACCTTGCCGCCACGTTCCGATCTGACCGGACGATTTTTTTGTTTGACTAATCGCTGATCCAGATCACTTCTTTTCAACTAGCGCGGCCATAGCAAAGCGTTGCTGCCCAACGGACTTTTTCGAGAGTCGGACAAATGGTGGTTATTGAATATCTACGTCGCGAGGTCGGGCTTGATTGCTTTCACGCCGTGCCTCTAGTTAGTGTCAAGCTCTGATGTAATATTCTGGCATACGCAACAACTAGCGCGGGAGTGTGTATTTCCTCACCCTATCGTTGAGAAGGCGAGAGTGTGGCCCCAAGAATGGCGGTACAGGTGAAAATGCCCATAGAAGGGTCGATGGTCTGTCTGAAACCGGAGCCAGTAACAAGGACTGTGTTGGCCCCTCCCAGTTCCCTAAGGGCAAATAATCTACTCTGTTGGCTGGTACGAGACGCGCAAGGGTTTTATATGATGGGACTTTACATTTCTTTCCGGAGACCACCCTACTTCGGCCGATGGGAACGGCGTGATGAACAGGTGGTAGAGAATCTTCGAGGCCTGCCAGCAGAGATAGCGTAAGTCTCGCCGTCTACATAGCCCTTGCCTCGGAATGGAAAAAGTAAGTCTCTGCATAATTGTCGAATCTAGGCACCACTTACACAATCCGCAATGTAAGGAAACATCCCCGGCCCTGTTACGAAACTGGAATTGGTTGCACTGTGGCGTCCAGAGGGAACGACGAAGCCAGGGGAAGGACTAGGCCCTGGACTAGCTTACGCCGTGGTATACGATACGTCAGACCTCTACGTTATCGCCACAGACAGGAGTGAGGAGACTCACGCTGAGAGGTTAAAACGAATCTCGCGTCATGGACGAACTGGCTCTCTTGTCGCTCAAGCGTCATTTCCTAACCTGTGGCGCCTCGCAGAACCAGAGCGATGAGAACGTCGTCGTCCACTTCTCGAAGTATACAGGGGACCACCAAATCCAATAAAATTTTCGTTAATGTCTGGCTCGCCTCTGATTGCACAGTGCCACCCAGGAAACGGCGGAAATGCGAGCTGAAATTCTCCGTTGGGAGTGAACCAAGAAATATTTCTCGCCGAAACACCTCGCATAAATCATCAAGCAGAGGGATGGCAGCAATAAACTTCAATTGGCGGAGGGCGTTGTAGATATGCAGAACTGCACCGACACGTCCTCCGCTATTGAAGAGCCGTAAACCTGCATCAATGGAATAATGGAGGATTTCACACATATGAAATCCTGCTGTCCATGGAGACTGATAGTATAGATCAAAGCGGTTCTCGGCAAGATATTCGTCCAAATATGACGCATCCACCACCAGTATTTTGCGAACCATAGGGTCACCACTCTGAGGCAATGCTTTTTGTACCATCTCTTTCATATCTTTTGCGAAACGCAGTGCTTGAAGACGACAATTGATTTTTGTGGCGGCGTTGGTATTCCAGATAAAGCTTCGATATGCCTCGAGAAGCAGATGGAGACCAAAAACTAAGCTGAGGTTGGGATTCTCGCTCGGACTCTCTAGAAAAGCCGAGATATCGGAAAGTAACGGATTCATATCCGATGGGGTGAAGCCTGACTCCGGGCTTTCATAGTTTTCTTTCCTCAATAGCTGTCCGATAGAAGTAAGGATGAACTTATAAGCGTCCAAATCTTTGCTGAACGAGACGCCATCCTCCTCCTTGTATGTTGAGGAGATGCACTTGAGAGGATCTTGCCAATCGCTTTTTGCGGGAGGGGGTTGCTCCCCCTTCCACTCAAGTTTGAAATGAGCGATAGCTATCCAAGGAAATGTCATCCCACGTCCTTGCGTAAAATCATTGAACTTGGAGACAGGTGAGAATGAGGTGAAGACAATGTCGAACCGGTTGACAACGCCGATGTAGACATCTTGATGTTCTTGGGCATCCTTATCAATGTCAATCAACTCCGCACACAACCTCTTTGCAGCCTCGTAAGCAGCGTTTGTAAGCCATGCAGCGAATGGAAGTGGCAAAGTTCCATCGGAGGTTTGTTCCGAATATATTTTGACTTTCTCGCAGATAGAATCCAATTCCTGAATGTAAAAGGTATTAGAATTTAAGTACAGTAGTGGTGTGTTTGTCGGATATACTTACTCGCAACAAAAGATGGATCCGTATGAGTGAGGTAAGCGGATCGTCTCCAAGTGTTGAAGTCTCCGATATCGCCAGAGCCTCCATTGCAGAGGCAGGTGGTGGCGGACCCAGCGCCCCCTCTACATCCTCTTCATCCTCTTCAGCCTGTTCATCCTCTTCGATGTTTGGAGCTTGGATCGGATCAAGTACCCGATCACTTAACCTCTCAAAGCGACTGCGGGACTCATTTGCGGCAGCTTCATTCTCACCCTTGCCAAGTGGCCTGCGAGACCATACTCCTTTTCCGTTTGGGAATAGAGTTAAGAATGCTTTTTCCAACCTGTTTACTTAGTCAATCATGCTCCAGTTCAGTGATCTCGACCGATAACTCACTTCTCGGTGAAACGAATATGATTGAGTGTGGTTTGGCTCATCTCTCCCCCAGCGCTGAGCTCCGCGGACATAAACCAATTTGTCACCTTCCGTCTCTTCGCAACACTCTCTCGAAATGCGCGATAGATCGCCTCTGGTACTTGGATAGTGTTGGCATAAACGCTCTCCGCAGCACTTTGCAATCGATTGACAGTGACACCTGACCGCGATGTGATGGCATCATTGTCGCCCAGCCACTTGAGCACCACTTCTGTGGAGGTCTTATACTGCCGGTACACATCAAACAGAGTACTTGGGATTGTAGCTGGTGGAGTTGATGCAGCCATCATCAATGTTGTAAATCACGAATGCAGTCACGTGATTAGATCGCGTGGTGTCGAAGGCTAGATGTTCTTACTTTCCCCCCTCTTTCTTGGCGAGATCACCCTGCAATAATTAGTCCTGAAGCGGGTTTCTTTTTTTCAATCAACATAATTCATTTTCTTCCTCTGCAGATACTGCAAGAGCCGTGGAAATGGTAACTGTCGAGTCATTGGGAGCCCATCAAAGGACGCTCGCCTGTAAGTTACGTGTCCCCGAGAATCGCTGGACCTGCCTCGATTAACTTGCTACCATAGCAATACCGGTTTCTGAAATCGTTGCTTCGATGATACCGTTGATTCCTCGCTTCCCGCTTCCTCCTCCCACCTGCCGTTTCTGCAGCTGGAAACCTCGATATCGGTCCTCTGTGATGTCAGGTAACCTGAATGGCAATGTAGGCAGGCCATACTACATCTGCGTTCGTTGTAAAGGTGCCGGACGCCGCACTCACTCCGACCATGAAAGGGGCTGGATAACATGGGATGATGATCGTGGTATAAGTCCTAGCAATCCGAATTGTGATTGTGGAATACCAAGTCGACAAGACAAGGCAGGTGTTGGAAGTCGCAGACAAGGTATGGGCTTTTGGACCTGTGCTTCAGGTGCTTGTGACTATTACTCGGAATTTCTCAACGGACAGACGTGGGAGGAGGCTGGAACCTATACGGTCCCTGACCGTGTTCCCTTTCTGCCTTGGTTATTATGAGAGAATTTGTCTCGCTCTAGCAGGTTCAAGAAAATCGGATGTGCCTATCCCTTGGCGACGTAGCAGGTCGATTCCGAATGATTTATTTGTGATCTGGAATTGAACAATTAATAAGCAAATAAATATGCGAGGAGTCTATCAGAATCCTCAGCCCCTATAGATCTGAGATCCTGCACACCCCTGCAACGCGACACCTTGTCAAGCGAGGGCAAGGCCTTGAAGATGCCACTTTCATCCAGAGATTTCCAGGTCCACCGTGCAAGTATCGCTTCAGATGGCACCCGACCCCATACTAGTACCTCCGTTCGTACTTAACATCTCTTATGAGCCCACAATGTTGATGTAGGGCATAGCCTCAGTGTAGTTCCCACCTCCTACCTTCCATGGATCTATCAAAGGCACGTAGAAGGTCTATCGTCGTGGAGATAAAAGGTGTAGGCTTGCGGCTAAAGCGATCCGCGTGGTGATGAAGATATTGTTGCATGCGTTGTCGCGAGATCTTCTGCGGTGCTGGTTGTAGTCTGGGTAGCAAAGCGCCATCTGATGCCGGGGTCGGTGATTCCTCATCAATCACTCTGTAGAATATGGGGCGGTCGAAGGCATTTGTAGGATATTGCTTATATCCGTGGTAGAGCTCCAGGCGGGGATTAATGCTTGTTTCAGGCATGCGGGTCTGGTGACTTACGTTAAAGTCATCTTCAGAACTATCTTCTTCGATAGCGATTTCATAGCCATCCGCGTCACCTTCTTTTTGGCGCTTACGACGCTCTAGGCCAGCAGAGTCCGCTCCGAGGCAGGACAGCTGTTCAAAGGCTGAGACCAAGTCCTCCATGTCAAGGAATTCCTGTTCGAGAGACATCTCAAGGGAGCTGCGTTCATGATACTGTAGTTGGCTTTACGTGGTCTCAAAAACAGACACAACTTGGATGCTGGGTATGACTCGGCACGCGCTTTGGCGGCTGTGGCGGTGCTGTGGCGGTAGCACGTGGTTCCAGCAATTTGAATGACCAAAACTGTTCCCCCACCGAAATGAATCGCATGTCATCTATACTTTACCACAAGGAATCCCGCAGTGTCGAAGCCAGCATTCATTCTCCAGTCGCCAGGAAATTTATGGAAGAACAGCGCTGCACGACTACGGGTGCATACAAGCCACAAAAGGGCTCCAATTTAGCCTTTGAACACGTGGCGCCCCATGTTGGCTATCAGTGCAATTCTTGTGTCGGCTCGTACAAAACGCAGGGTGAGTAGACAGCTCAATTACTAGGAGGCTAAACTGAAGAGAGAGAGAAAGAAGACTCGCTGGCGAGGGCAGTACTATATATATGTGAGGGAGGTAGCTAGCACGAGGCTGCGCTAGCACCCATACGGTACCTGCCTAGTGCGGGGCCCTGGTGAGCCAACCAATGCCCGGGTGCCTGCCCTTGACCGTCCCAATCGTCACAACTGTCCTTTGGGTTTATTAATCTTTCTTAGTTATGGTGAGTGAAGCAGAGGTCCCTTTTATTACAATTGAATCCAGGTCTGCCTTGATATACCTTACTTCTTGTGGTTCGGGACGGAACTTTGTTAATCGAAATCGTTTTCGCCAATGCGTACCCTCCTGCACTATTTGACCACCCCCAATCCAGAAGTTCGTCGAGAAGGTCTGCGGGCAGGCCCCAACACCTTCCCCGTTGGTGACTATGACATTGAGGGCGTTGAACCATGGCTGGACTTTTCTTACGAAACCATTATGGATTGCTTTGGAGATATTCTCACAACACCCGTGGACGACGACCTATTTAATGACCCGCCTCCGATTGCGGCACACGATCTGAACTTGACGGACGAATCTTCTGTAACCTTCATCCTGACCAAGCGTCACCACACAATTATCGATTGCGCGCTACAAATTGCCCAAGACCAACTAAAGGACCGCGGATTCGGCTTTCCGATTTCGTGGTCCCTTGGCTCACGATCTCACGTTCAGGAAGATCCTCGACTTCGACCAGACTGGGCCGTCACGAATCATTCCGGTAAGCCTCCGTACGAGGATCTTGGGCCCGGAGATACAAAGCAGTCAAAGAAATGGAACACGAGCATGAAAGACTCACGAGACGAACATATGCGAGAAGAATTTGAAAAGGCGTTACGGCAAGTCCACCTGTACTCCATACGGGTTAATTGTCGATCATGCTTCCTAATATCTGATCTTGAACTGGTCTGGCTACGCCGAAGGAAATCCCCTGAGCCGGCACGACCTCTCTCCACCAGTAGACCAAGGCGCTTGGTTTCTCAAGAAAATTCCCGACGCGTAACATCTATCACGTCCGTGCTTTCAGGAACGTCAAGCATGTCGCTAGACTCGTCAGGATCCCCTTACACCGATGGCGGAAATCCTGATATTAACGAGGGCCCGTTCGAGATGTGCGTGGTGCCGTGGTCCAATCATGGTGTGGGAAATTTGACAATCAATCTTGCCATGTTTGCCGCTGCTTTGTGGGCGGCAACTGACAATTCTGTCCGCGAATCATATCCACCTTTGGCGTCTTGGGAGAGGATAAGAGGACCGTCAGGGGAAATACTCTATCGTCAGGTTGGCTCGTTGAAAATCGCCTCAACACTGCCACCTGATGCGATTCTCTCGCAACCTGAGCAAATCTCTGATGCCTTATAAAGCTGTGAAAGGCGGACAGGATATCCTTGAAAACCCTGGTTTGGTTACATTCCTCTCTGGGTTTAGCTTTAGTAAGGTTGGGCGAATAGGGCGATAAGGATTTCTCTGCTGACTCAATTTCCCACCTCATTTCTAGATATTCTACCTTTTTGCCTGCATCACCATCGTTTCTTAGAATAATCTTGTATAAATGGTACCATTCGATTCGCCTCGTTAAGGGGAATCGAATGGTACCTTTTATATTATTCTGCAACGCTTAGTACCTAAGAGAAATACGAATATTGGAAGGAATTTTGAGGTGGTAACGAGGGCTGGTGGGAAGCCTAGCACGTGATCCTTTTCCACGGCAACGCCTCCCTCTAAGCCAAGCCTCCTTACTTGGTTCGCCGACGCAGCAAGACAAACTCTCCTCCAACTGTTGCGCAGTCCCGTACAGTGGCATTATGAGCGTCAGAGATGAGTTTTATGCCAGACATTTGTTTCTTGAGCGATTCAAATTCTCTGGTGGACGTAAACATGTCATTCGCCGTTTGGATGCAATTAACGGTGAAGATGCAGACTTTGTCTTTCAAATACGCAATTGCAAAAGGACCTACGTCTTGAAGATGGTGACTGCAGAACCTTGCGTTCCTTCACTGTATATTTATTCTAACTAGCCTCTAGTACAAATTCTACAGGTCGGAGTTGCACGCTTCTAAATTGCCAGGCTTCGAGAAGCAACTTCGCTACGACCGTTTTCTGGCCGAGGGTCGGGCATATGGCAAGCTTATCAAAGAGGGGAGAAATGGTCTACATACACCAACTTGCCATGGTTGGGTTGAGGTACCGCAAGAGGTGGAAGTGCAAATAGCCCGAAAGTTCGATATTCCAGTTTTTCTATGGGATCGCCCACCTGGATCGCAGGATCCAGTCCGCGGCATTTTATTTGATTTTGTCGAGGGCGTGGACATTTCAGAAGTCAATCTCACTCCAGAAATTGCCGCCTCACTCCGCTGTCGTCTGCAACAAATACACGATTGCGGCATTGCGCATGGCGACATTCAAGGACAAAACATTCTGGTTACACAACATGGTCCCTGCTTCCTCGATTTTGGCTCCTCCATCACGCTACCCCATCCAAGCTTTCCACCCCATTTAATGCCAAATTTCGAGGAGCGTCTACAAAGGGACTTTCGAGACCTTGAAATTGGCGTCGCCATGTTGTCTCGCGGCAGTACGCTAGCGGATATGCCTCTGCTACACGAATCTACGATTGACGACCTGATAAATGATTATCCCACGGCGAAAGCGCGCTGGTTACCAAGGTCGAAAAGCTAGTATCAAGTCTCCATATATCAGCACTTTTGATGCTCATCGGTTGGGCGAAACCTCAAAGCGCACATCTTGGAATCGACATTGCGCATGGACATGTCACTGACACTTGCGGGCGACAAGCAACGCCAGCACTATCCAAATTAGAGTGGACTCGGGGCACAAGAGGCCACGACCGCACGAGATACGAGACCTGAAGCGACAACAAACCGCAAGAGCAAGGAACTAGATAGGCTGATCACCTACGCCAACCGAAACACAGCACCCCCAAGCCAGCCCCTATCCTTCCGAATTGCCTCACAGGCAGCTGCCAAGCAGCATTCGATCTTGATGCCATATGACCATGATGCGTCCGAGTGAGTAGCGTGGGGTCGGGGAATCAACCGTAAAGGAGCAAATCTAGGTGGAAGAAGGACGCAGCAAACTAAGTCGGCCTCTGAAATCAAAGGAGAAGTTGTTATGTACAGTATTGAGGTAATTCTTGCTACATAAGAAGGCCCATACCCTTCAACTGCACCCTATAAAGTGCGATAATGGTTGACTTTCGGCTTTCCGCAACCACGTCAACTTATCCCAACTCTGCTATAGCTGCCTGTTGGACGCCTAAGGCTGCTCTGGCTATTCAATACGAGTCTCATGTTAGCGCCGCCCGGATCGTGGGGTTGTGTGGACATCGGCGGCGATCCTTCGTGTTGTGACTCTTCGTGACTCGTGAGGCTAGGGGTTGGCGGCCCTAAGGCGATTAGCCGGCTGATCCGCGCCTGGCCAGGGGCACCGGAGCTTCAGCCACAGGTTTTGATAGGCGCCAGCTCTTGGCGTGCCAACCTCTTGAAAATATGGCATTCGAACGGATGGAGTATTTTAAACTCACCAGAGACGTGGTTGCTTCATGTTTTGTTGCCCTTCTGTCATCAAATGCCTTTGTTGCTTGCGCGGGTTCCCACGCAGGCCCCCAAGCGGGCTGCCAGCGTAAATCTCCCACCCGTCGCGCTTCCACATCGCGACATCGAACCCCGCTGCGCAGGGCCCCTCCTCGCATCCTCGAGTCGAATTACTTCTCCGTCCTTAGAGACGATGTTCGGATGATTCAATGAACGGTACGAACACTTGCAGGGGACAGCGCAGCGAGCGATGTAGCCCTGCAGGTACACAGAGCTAGGCTCTGAGGAGGGAAGTCCCCTCGAGTGGTACAAGATGGCGGCAAGAGGAGGATTCACACAAATACTGTTCGTTGTTGTGGTGGCACGGTAGGGCTGACAGATACCGTCACTGGTCAGACGCCTTTCTTCACGCACAGAGTGGTTGGAGTGAAGGTCAACAAGATGCGCCCAGCAAAATGGACCTTGCTGCAGTCGTTACTGCAACTAGGTGATTATACCAGGAGGCTGGCGTTGTCGAATGAATAACCGTGGAAAGGCAAAGGGGCGGTTAGTTGTATAGGGAAAGGGATGCTGGACGAGGATGGATGATTCTCTCTGAGGTGTTCACTTCCCCGACCGCATCCCTCGTCCGTCACCACGACCCTTCGTACCCCCTTCAGGGTATGCTATTCCGTCTTTTCGGTAACCAACCACTAACTCCATGGAAACCAACGATGAAAATGGCGATTTTGATATGCGAAATATCTTTAATTTCTGGGATTCTCAGAATTCACCACAACTGGCAAGAACTGCTTCGAGCTCCGGAGTCGATGCAACACCCCCTTCCTGATCCCGCCTCGCCCAGTACGGCATCGAATGTCACACCACGAGCGTTGAGCCTGCGGCAGCAGCCGAACAAGAGACTGACGTTCATTAAAGAGGAGGACTGGGACCCGGAGAAAACATACGATGAAGATCCCCCGATCTGCCTCCGCTACTCGATTAAGTGGACGGTGACGGTGAAGCGCGAAACACTGAACCGCAGGCACCTCACCAGTGACACGGAACTTGACGTGGTGTTGGCACCGGGCCATTACTGGGAGCGTTGCTTGAAAGCCCGTCTCGCGGATCTGGTGAAACAAAAATTCAGAGGGATGTCAGAAGTGCGCCCTGACGACACCAACGTCGTGGTCTCGGTGAAGGAGCGGTCACAGCCGGATCTCATCAAGCGTTTCCCTGGTATCGATATCGACTGGAAAGTCGTCCAGACACGGTTGGAGAAATGGGGTCAATATTTCCAGACAGGCAAAAGCCTACTGGTCAATGTGTCGTTCAACTATATTCAGGTAGGTGTCCTGCCAGCCACCAATGGAAGGACAGGCGACAAGAGGGGACGGACGTCAACCACTCGGGGGATGCTCAACGAACTAGACGTGCGGGTCGACGCAGAAGAAGCCACTTCCGGGCAGTCGAACTGGCGGAAGGTGTATGGCCTCATGCGCTGTCCCGGCTCGCCGTGCCCTTGGGGCCGGTACTGCTGGATTGATCCAGTGGGAAAAAAGCATTATAGACTACTAACTCATCACCTTAAAGACTTGGTCAGGTTTGTCGAGCGGCGTGGCAGGCTGGAGACCCATGATGACGTCCCACAGTCCATTCGGCAGCAACTTTACGACGAAGAGAAGAAAAGTTGTGATCGAAAGTCAGACAAGGTGGCGGGGTCTCCTGGCGGCTCCTCTGCCGTCACTATCAATATACTGTCTGGCCATGCCCAACAGGCAGCGCCGTCGAGCGGACGGGCACATTCGATTGGTCCAGTACAAATTTGGGACTCGTCGCTGGCTGACGATCTGGATATCGAAGGTCCTCGTGATGTCGCCGTGAGGGAATTCTCCGAGTGGCTCCAGGCACGGTACCAGACTCTTCACTCCAAGCGGAAGTCCGAAAAGCCGAGCAAGCAGTGCTGGATGAGGGATTCAGTCTAGTGCAGATCCACAATGCACGGAATTCTGACTTTCTTGCCAGCAAGAAGGTGAAACGAGGCATCGCCGAGAGTTTCATGAACGACATTCCGACCTGGAACAAGCGTCGGAAAGCAAATCACGCAGGAGCTGCAGGCGGCTCCGCAGACGAACAGGTTGAGAACGGCAGATCGCCTTGCATCATGTAACACTAGTTTGATAGATGTTAGAGGGTTGGCTTTATTGTCACTATGGTAGTATTGTACAAGTACTATTTTTGCTTATTCTGCCTCGGGTTCTTCAATCTTCCATCCCGCATGTCGAAAGTGACCTCTGGCACTCTTTCGGTTGCCTCCCACCGAATTCACGCACCATTGTAGTAAGTTACCAAAGCCTTGGTCCGGGTTCTGTATATATTCAGAGAAATGCTTTTTGATAAAACCCTTGAGCTCGGCAAAACACTCTTCAACCGGGGCGAAGTCTGGCGAATACGGAGGTAAGTAAAGCAGCTTAACCCCAGCTGCGCCACACATCTGCTGCACCCGTTCGCCGCGGTGGAAAGACGCATTGTCCATGATCAGAACCGAATGGGGCTCGGGCCATCTACCGCAATGGGGAAGAAGTTCTTCTATAAAGTCCTCGAACACAGCGCTGTCGGTGGTGCCCAGGTAGATGCGTGAACATAGGAAGCCATTGGACGTGTATGCCGGCAGGATATGATACCGTTTTTCCCTCCGAAACTGAGCGATTTGGACCGGGGTCACACCCAGAGGAGACCACCCTGTGCGTCGATACCCCACTCTTGTGTCGCAGCCGGATTCGTCCACATAGACGACATGGTCGGGCTCGAAGGCAGACAAATCGTGGAGGTACATGTCGCGTAGATCTGCATTTTGTTCCTTGCTATTCGACGGGCTACCTTCTTTGACCATTTGGCGGAGGCCAAAGCCCTGCTAATGGTAGATGTCGACAGGAGCTCGCCAAATCCATCCCATAGGAAAACCGCCATCTCATCGAGGTACAAGTCGGGCTGTTGGTGGAGGAGGTCTAGTAGGGTGGCGAGCATCAGTGGAGTCATAGATCGAGGACGCCCACCACGGCTGTTGTATGGTGCAGTCGTGCCGCCGAACCGAAGAAGGTTTGTTCGCGAGGTAGTGATTGTGCGACTACTGCAGTTGGCAACTTCCGCCATTCGATCATTTGTTAGCGATCCTTCTTCAATCATGGCTTGAATTAGCTCATGCTGCGAAACTGCGAGATTTGGTGCCATGATTCGGCAGATTCGATGGATAGGACGCGGTATCGCTGCTGTTCATTGCCTGCACTCACCTTTGGTCTCCATCGGAGAGGTTGCGACTCCTGCGGATCATCTCGAACATTCCCCTGCGGTTGTACCCGCACCAATCTGCCAACGAGCATCGGTCTCATTTTCATCTTGTACATTGCAACACCGTGCAGACATATCCTGTAGGGTACAGTATTGATCCTTCCGAGTGTTTTTCTTCATGCAGGAATGTCACCCAAGTTTGCAGCGATAGGATGATCGTTCCAAGCATTGCGGCCATTCTGCTCGCACATAATCGAATAACCCTGGCACCATTGTAGCCTCCTCTTCTGTTCGGCGCCGAAACACGCGAGACCAAGAAGTTTCAGTCACAGGCACAGCATGTTCAAGATCTTTCTGGGAAAGTTCTGCGCCGCCGCATGAGCGTGCCACCATTTGGATGTTGCTGCTGCAGAGCCTCAACATTCGTTGAACTGCTCCTGCTCGAGATTGTGTCGTTCATTAGGTTATTTGAATATTGTCTCGGCCAGACAGGGAGATAACTCGATTCGAGAAGCAAAGTGAGGCCACGCGCAGCGGGGTTCGATGACAGGATCTTGCGGGAAGGTGCGTGCTGGGAGACATTCGCGCTTACAACCCGCGAGGATAGCCGCGCAAGCAACGAAAAAACATTACATGGTTGGGAGAACAGGATAGGCAGGGAGCACCACGTCTCTGGTGAGTTTGAGCTCGTTCGATTAATTGTTTTTGAAATTTTCAAAAAGAGATTGGCACCCCCACGCGGCTAAAGAGCTCCCCTGGCAGGCGCGGATCAATCGGCTAATTGGTCAGCCTCACAGACTCACGATACGAAGGGCCGGGATGTCCACAACCCCACGCTACGCATGGGTGCAGTGATTGCTTGCAGATCGAATTTGGCTTCAACGAGTGGAAGTGATGGGTGTGGTGCAGTTATGTGTCGACACACCCCGTGCCATAGCCTCAGTCATGGCAGGAGTGCCTGAGTTAGGCAGCAAAGTCCCAACAACCATCGAAGGGTCTTAAGAGCTATGATGGAGGTGTCTTTGGGAGGCCAATAAAACGAAAAACCGCACTGCAGCTGGGAGGTTATGGGCGTATTTACCGTAGTATGCATCGAGGCCTCAGACTTTTGCCACGGCTTGAAATTGAATTGAGCCTGACGGATAACTTTTCAATTCAGAGCAGCCAATAGGCGCGAAGGCAAATTTCACGTGATGTCAAGTATTGAACTTTGAAACCTCGAGAACGTTACAGGACATGCATCGACAGTGTCAAATGTCGTCAAGACGGTGGGGGTATTTTAAGGCTTGTTATGGCCGGTAATCTGCACTTTTGTAGTCGGGCATGATTGGTAAATTCATAAGTAAGCTTGATTTCGCCTGGCGAATGACGATACTGCTGACGGCTCCACTCCCTCCTTTTCTTTAGAAAAAAATATTTGTTTAGGTGGAAACCGGTTTTGCAATCCTCAGTAAGTAACAGTAGCCATCTTTCACATGAACTCAAAAAAAGGAATGTGGTATGATGTGAAATCGTCCGAGGTCGATTGGAATTTTTAAAGAGTTGCGAGCCATACACTGTGCCACGTGACTGAGTTCTAATTTTGCCTCACGCCATGATTCGCTGCTTTGTTGTCCTTGCCCGTCTGCGGCTTGGCGGACTTCGCCTCCCCCTGCGAAACCCTGCTCGTTGGAATGCCGACCGACCGGGTTTCCGCTGGCCATCACGCATGGAACAACAGCCTCGCGATCGCTGTGTCCCGCAAGTGACGGGTCCTACTGTCATCGACACTGACCACACTTGTGGCTTCTGCCACGCCCACAGCGATACCTTGATCAGGGATCTGGCCAGTAGCTCTCAGTAGCTCTCAAGACTCGAAGAAGGTACTCCTCCCAGAGCTGTCAGCGTGCTTGGTTGGCATCGCCGTGCATGCACGGGCAGAAAAAAGCACGGCTTTGACGCCAGGAAATATCGGCTCCTGGTGCAAAAATACATCGGGGACTACGATGTCGTTGACACCGGTAACGAAGAGCAGTTTGTCGTTGCCGCTTCAGCACTGCCAACACTACAAGTAGGTTAACATTGCGTGTCCCGTGCCTGCCGAGCGAATCATCTTTCTGGAATCCGCCTCGAGCGCCTCTTGGATGTATATGGCTTCCAACGAGACGCCCGCGGCCTGCGTGTAACGGCACAACAGAGGCACCCTTCTCTTTCGTAGACACAGATTAACATCCCCTCAGCGAGATGTAGCCTGGGTTAATTTAAAATACCATCCAACTTACATAATCAAATAAATATATTGTGTCATTCCTAGGAATGTCATGGTAATGGCAATACCAGGCTGAAATATATGTCTTGATGGTCGTCATCGGAGTGGATAAAAAGCTGACCCACCATTGGCCCTGACTCTTTCTTGGACAAAGTTGCAATGTGTCCGCAGGGGGGTCAAGTTTCGAGAACGTCTGTACTAGATACTGGACATGACGCCCTTGAGAGGGCACTTTGAAGGAAAGCCTTCATTTCTGGACTTTGCGACAAGAGCACGTATACCCAAGACGTTCACAAAGAGAATTTTTCATTATTGATACGATAGATTGACCATATCCGGCGTACTGTACTTATTAGGATTGGCCTATATTATAGAGATGAAGATATAAAGTAACGAGAATGGCTGAGGGTGGCGGAAAGCTCCAATAGCGAAAGAAGGGGTCGCACAGATTAGCGGCGCGGAAAAAAAAGGGGG